AAATTCCCTTGCTCTGTTAAACATCACTTGGGAAATATCTGAAAACCAACTGAAATTTCATAGGGGGGCTAATAATTTTGTCTTCAACTGTACATGAAAAAAGTTTTCTACACTGTGAAAATATTTTTTTCCAAGTTGTAAATAAAACCGGGATTATTGGGAGTATGTTTAACAATAAAATACCATTTTGGTCTTTTTACTTAATTTTTTACTTAAAAATAGTTTCAAACAAAATGTCAGTGTACTGTAGGGATATGAGATTTTTCTTAAGATTGTCTCCTTAGATTGTTATGTGCAACACAATCTTTCACTGATCTTTATTTGAGCACATGGCAGAAAAAGTTTTTGACTGACACCTGCTGAATTCAGAACCACATACTTGCATGCTTCTCTTATTCTTTTTACCATATCTTTTTAGGCAGGAATAGTAAGAGTAGTACGTGATTCAGAATTCAGCAGTTCACTTTGTGTCTAATCATTTTGAAATAAAATAAGTCTAAAGATGAGCAGCCTTAAAGGCTGTAATAATCTTTTTCAATCTACACCACAAGCACTACATCCTCAAATTTAGAGGAACTGAGAGGCAGCTGGAGCTCTCACAGACATGCTGCATCTCTCCTGTGTGCTTGTTGTCGTTTCAGTCTTGTGTGTACTATGTAGTGTTATTTTCTCATCCCTGGTTGTCTGTGTGTGTGCAGCAAATTGATGAGATGCTGGCAGGATCTCTGACCCAGGAGGATGAGGAGGCTGTGCTAGCAGAGCTAGAGGCCATCACTCAGGTGTGTACATGAGCACTCTCTTGACAGCCCTTGTTACTGATGTTGTGTCAGCTGCTGTGATTTCATCTATTATATACATGTCCTGTGTGTGCTCAGGGAGAAGCTGACCTTGAACTTCCTGAGGTGCCTGAAGAAGAACTACCAGAGGTTCCAGAGCAAGAGCCAGGTCTGTGTTTCCTTCTTCTGTATTTCTGAAATAAATGCACAGTATGCAAATGCTAAGAAAACCTTTTTGTAATGTTTCAGTGCGGGAGAAGGTAAAAAAGAAGCCAGAGCGAGAGATGTTGGCAGTGTAAATACAAATCTATCATACCTCCATGTCTGCTCTTGAGCCGTTCCACTGGAGACCACAAGGGCTCATCCCAAACAAAACTCTGGGGAGTGACTGACAGTCCTCCCCTTCGTACATTTCGAAGACCTACAACCATGCCATTTTTTTTTAAATTGTATATACAGTGCATATTGTATACCATTTAGTTTAGATAATTATTCTGAAATACTCTTAACAGTGCCTGGTCTTTCTAATCACCCTACAGTTTTGTCTGATCTATCATATATCAAAAGCATATCATGTCAATGCCTGTAAATTTCTACTGCATGCATCACTTTTATTATAACAATCTCTGTTTAAAATGATTCCCAAACATTAGTGTTTTAAATACACCATGTTTTG